GGCGAAGAATTTATGTTCAAGGTTGGCGGGCGGAATCGAAGTATCTGAGTGTTAACATTGGATAGGAGTTTGTTGGTCTTTGCGTTCGTTTTATACAGGGTGTGTAGATAAGATATTATAAAGGGTGCTTTAAAATATGTGAGGAACCCAATCTTGTCATCTTAATTGAAAAATGCTCCAATTGAATTCAGGTGGTTTTTACTTGAAAATCCATTTAACAAAATAAATAAGAACCAAAAGTTCAGATTGTCACGAAATTATATATTTTTACATGAAAATTGTTTCGACAACACCGTGTCCTTATCAAATGTAATATTCACAAATTACCTGCTACTATATATACCGAAAAATGACAATAAAACCTTAATTAATGTTGTTATGAGAATTTAAGTTTAATAATGGAGTGGTATTTAAATATAATTGATCGTTAAGCAATACATTTGAATGTCTCATTTTGTTAATCTCCATGGCTTCCAATAAATTTAATCTTCTACTTTTTGTAGCTGTATGTAAAATTTCAAAATTGTCGTCAAAAATGTGTTTTTCTGTGTTTAAGTGTGTAGCATAATTAGAATCTAGACTATTGATCTACCTGCTTGTCCTATATAAATTTTGTGTGTCTACGGGTTGAAATTGTATTTCAACCCGTAGACACCTGATTTTTGAGATTTTTTTTTTTAATTTTCCTATTGTGTTGTGAGTTCTGAAAGCTATTTTTAAACCTTATTTTGAAACTTTTTCACTGAGTTCTCCTATGTATGTAATTGTTTTAAATTGTTCGTGGTCTGTTTTAGGTTTCGAATAAATAGAGTTTACTGTTGTGTGGATTTGTTTTTTATTTATAATTTTATCGATAATGGACGGATTGTAGCCGTTGTTCAGTCGTTGAGTCGCTGAGTTCGAACATCTATCATTCATAAAAAGTTTCTTAGACAAAAACTAAAGTAAGTCAAATTAATTCCTAATACACAAATATCTAACAGCAAGCCAGTTATTACAAAGTATACCGACCATCAAATTTACATAATTTCGTAAAAATCTGAACTTTTAGTTCTTCTTATTTATTTATTTCCATCTAAAACCAAAATTATAGAAACGCTACGTCGATGATACTTTTGTTATTTGGCCTCATGGTCAAGAATCCCTAGTAGATTTTCTTAGACATTTAAACTCTATACACCCTAACATACGTTTTGCCATTGAATTAGAAACTAATAACCTCAATTCTGAGATGTTCTTATCAATAGAAAATCAGACCTAACGTTGTTTTATTGTGTGATATTAAGCGACCCATCACAAAATCCCACACTCGCCATGGTTGTCCTTCACATACATTCAAAACATTACTGACCACATATCAAACGTTCTAAAGAAATATGACATCAAAACCAGATTTACCACTTGTAAAAAAATCTCTCAATATCTTCGATCTGTCACAAAATTTAACATCCAATTGCAACGCGGCTTGACGAGTGTTTCTCCTCTGTTAGAACTTATCCTGGTCTATTCTTGGACCATCTTGGCTAAACTTTTTTACTATTAATGAAAACTTTATTTAAATATGCGAAATCAAAATAAATTGTCTCGTGATTCGTTGAAACAATCATTAAAATTAAATAAAATATAAGAAGGATATGCCATTACAAATTTCTTTAAAATAATTAGGTGTCAGTATTTTTCGCCAGCGAGTTTGTTAATAAAAATTTCGAAAACTATTAGATTTAGATATAGGACACATATATTGCAAATTATAGGTATTTTCACACGCTTTGAGAAAAAATATCAAAAACATGGGCGTCTCATTTAAAAAAAAATGGATACTGCAAGTTGAAATAAAAAAAAATCCTTTAAGTAGTCATTACTGCCAGCTGTGGAACACATTTCCTAAGAACATAATTTCGCATAAAAAAATATATAATCTCAAATTCTGCCTAAACTACATAAAATTCGGATAAGCAGTTTCTATAAAAGTTACCTTTATTTTTGGCAAGGATTCCAAAAATATCAAAATGATCCGTTTCAAATTTTTAAAACTAATGTCGTTCCAGCACTTATCGGACATCCTATATATGTAAAAAATAAATAATTTTAAAATATAATTTAAACCATAAAACTTCTGCATAACCTTTTTTTTCTAAAATCAGTAGTTCCTGAGAAAAGGCACGAGCCCTTAATAAGGTGCCCACCCTGTACGTGTTGCTTTGTCAACAGGTGGATATTGCCGGTACTTTCACACTTAACGTTCCTTTTTAATATTAACTACCTGCGATTAAGATGTAATAAAGTTAATAGCGAATATTTAATCCAATGTAAATTAATAATGCATGAATTTTACAGTTGAAGCTATTGCTAATGAGTAGAAATTGAAATTTCTCGATACTTCGTATGTGTTTAACGCACGTGTAAGAGTGTAACCAGCATTTTCTGTGTTGTAATTATCACTTCAAATATTGCGAAATTAGTCCAGCCCTCAAAATGGAGTTGTTGACTCAAGAAGAAGGAAACGGGTTCGTCCTCCGCCACAGCGATTTAATGTAAAAACCTTTTTTTTATAAAAACCCTTGATCCTCGTAGAATGTCGCAGTTTCCTTATCGCTGATTAAATCCTAGCCCTGTGTTTTTATTTAAACCTTTCCGTTCATCAAACAACAACTCAAATCACTCAAGCAATTAAAGTTATTGAAGTCTTCTCCAAACATTTAACATTTAAACTGACTAGATTGTTTCCTTCCTTTTCAATTTCAATATTTTTTTGTGTCCGAAGTCCAGGGGTTAAATATCCCTGTTCAGCCAAATTATCGCACCCATACTGTTTTTCAATTGAATATGTAATTTGAAGATGTTTTCATCTTATAGTTTTGAGTGGTTGTCAAATCTATATCTTTAAATTTTTTGAACTTAATTAAATCCATTCCATTACTACTTCCCTTTTGTCTATTTTGCTCTACTTAAATCCCATTTGACAAACAACTTTATGAAGGGTGACGCGGCTTATATGTATATTGGTTTCATCTTCTTCTAGCTCCTTTGTCAATTAATCTAACGTAGTAACAACTGTATATATATATATATATATATATATATATATATATATATATATATATATATATATATATATATATATATATATACGAAGCCCTTGATATCGACAGAAACGTCACTAACGATTGGCTGTAGAAGACGTGGAAGACATTTTTAATGGTATTTTTTACAAAATGACGCCAGATAAAACTCTGAAATTTCGAAGCGAAAAGAGTGTGGGTGGAAAACTTTCTAAAGAACATATTGTTAGTAGTGAGTAGCTGCCAATATGAGTGGGAGAGAAAAAAGAAAGCTAGTCGTGATTGGAAAATCAACTAACCCACGATGTTTTAAGAACATCATTTGCCTGTCACTTACAAGGCAAACAAGTCTGCATGGATGACGTCGCAAATTTTTGAAGAGAAGATACGGAAATGGGATGTAGATCTTCAAATCTACGGAATATTGAATTGGCATTTCTTTCAGCCAAAACAAGTGTATTACAGCCGATGGACCAGAGCATAATAAAAAGTCTTAAGAGTTGATACAGGAAGAACATTTTAATGGAAATGATCGGGTCTGAATACAAATTTCCCATTAATATTCTAGATGGCAGTCAACTTTGTTAGTAAACCCTGGAAAAAGGTGACAGCAGAAATAATTCAACACTCCTATCGTCATGCAGGAGTTATTACCGAGACAGAATGCAAACAGGACTTGGAAGATGACTAAGCGAGTGGATACAGCAGTTTCAAACTACAATTACGTTTACACGTGAGGAGTTGCAAGATTTTATGGTGATAGATCAGGATTTGCCTTCAACAGCAGACTTGACAGAGGAAGCCATATTACAACAAGCAAGAAAGGGTGAGGGACAGCACCAAGAAGAAGAAGAAAATGAAGAAGTTGATCTGGGACCACCAACAACCATTCAACAAGCCCTATCTTCAGTTAAGCTGCTAGAGAAATTTTTTATGTATCATGGGGAAGATACCGCTCTCCCAGAAGTGGTGAAAATACAAGCCAAAGTACGAGATGCGTATTGGCGTACTAAAAAAATTCAAAAGAAAATGACCGATGATTTGAAATATTAAATGTAGTTGGAAATATTTATATAAATTGTTCCTAAGTAGATGTTAAAATACGTATATAAAGTAATTAAATATTATAGAACACATATGCGTATTGTTATTTTTCAAGGGCCCGTAACTCTTTATGACGAAAAAAAAAAGCAGTCCCTTCAATTTCGCTAAATAGAGTTTCGACGTTAATATTGTCGATAAGTTATTATCAAAGCGAAGTTGTTCCTACGTTAGATTAATTGACAAAGGAGCTAGAAGAAGATGAAACCAATATACATATAAGCCGCGTCACCCTTCATAAAGTTGTTTGTCAAATGGGATTTAAGTAGAGCAAAATAGACAAAAGGGAAGTAGTAATGGAATGGATTTAATTAAGTTCAAAAAATTTAAAGATATAGATTTGACAACCACTCAAAACTATAAGATGAAAACATCTTCAAATTACATATTCAATTGAAAAACAGTATGGGTGCGATAATTTGGCTGAACAGGGATATTTAACCCCTGGACTTCGGACACAAAAAAATATTGAAATTGAAAAGGAAGGAAACAATCTAGTCAGTTTAAATGTTAAATGTTTGGAGAAGACTTCAATAACTTTAATTGCTTGAGTGATTTGAGTTGTTGTTTGATGAACGGAATATATATATATATATATATATATATATATATATATATATATATATATATATATATATATATATATATATATATATATATATATATATATGTAGGACATATGTTGGTTTTCATTTTAAAATGGACCCTCGACATTCAATTAGAAAACACCCTGCATATTGTAAATCATTAGTTGCGAAAGTAAAGGCTGTTCTGAAGAGTACAAGGGCCTAGCATTAAAAAAAGATACACTTTCCGAAATATTATCGAAATGTTTACCTGAAACAAACTAGCAGTGAGATCCTCCAGTTCCGTCTCTACATCCTGCCTAATCCTGTTCACCCTCGCCAACTCCTCGTCCTTTAAATTCAATTGTCGCGTGACCTGTTTCAGTTCGTCCCTTAATCCATTCACGATGGTATCTTTACCCTGCATTACAGAACCGGACCAATCGACTTGATCGCTGTTGCTTTCGAAGCTCTTATCGCTGTCGTCTTTCAAGTCGAACTGCGAAATCACTTCTAAGTCGCACTTTTCCAAATCCAAGTCGCTGTACATGGAGCTGTCGGAGCTGTTACGGTGCTCCACTTGCTTGTCCAACGCGGGACACTTGTAGCTTCGTCCTTCAAATAACCTCCTGGTGACATGGTCTCGGATGGTGATGTCCGTCTCTTCTATTTCTAGGTTTTCTTCGTCGTCCGACGTGAAAGATTCGTCGCCGGTACCCGTGGTACCCGTAGAACTAGCTCGCTTGTGCTTGTTACCGGCAGAAACGCCAGTAGACATGGTGAGAGTGGCAGTTTTTGCCGTTGGTGAACGGCTGAATGAAATCTAGCAAAAACAAAATGGATTACGAAAATATCTGACTTTAGAATGACGCTAGAAATAAGTTTTTAATGAAAACTCGTATTGCATTTCTTTTTCTTTGATTCTATGACACAGAGGACACTAAGACACTATGAAAGTGGCCCTTTTTGTCGATGGAATGAAACCTAAGGAAGGACAAAAATGGACTGATGAGGCACCTACGAAAATAATAATAATAATAATAATAATAATAATAATAATATATGTTTATTTAAAGTGTATGTATACACATTAAATAGCGTCTAAATAACAATATTTACAATTTCCTGATCTTGGTGTAAAACTCTTCCATAGTGTATGGTTCGACTCTGACTAGAATATTAAAAATTTGTTTCTTTTCAGTCCCTGTGACTCGATGGTGAGGAAAACTAAAATTCTGTGTGCGTGTTGCATAAACAGTTTGTGATTCATTGGGAGTAAAGCAGGATCTATTTTTTAAAAAGTACATGACGCACTCCTATATGAACACTGCAGTTACTGTTAAGACATTAAGTTCTTTGAACTTTCCTCTGCACGACTGTCTACTTTCTAGGCCTAGAAGTATTCTGATTGCACGCTTTTGTACTATAAATACTTTTTCAATGTCTCTGCAACTCCCATATAGTAGTATTCCATATCTAATATGACTTTCAAAATTAGCATGATATAACATCTTTATCTATACCTATGCAGTTTTTTAGGACCCGAAACGTATAACATACCTTGTTCAATTTACCCACAACATAACTAACGTGGAATTCCCAAGTTAACATATTGTCCAAGAACATCCCCAAGAATTTGATCTTGTTGCTTAGGTCTATTTCACATCCATTGATGTTTATCGTTTTTGGTTCAGCTTGTTCTCTCTTGTTCGTCTTGAATAGTACTACATTTGTTTTGTCATTATTAACAACCAATTAATTTTTATGAAACCAATGTTCAACTGTCGTCATAAAGCTCGTGGCTGCGTTCTTTAAGATATTTATATCACTATTATTTTACAATTTTCTACTCCTGTAAGTAATTCTGTTATGTTATTTATGTAAAGTACAAATAAAATAGGACCAATGACACTTCCTTGTGGAATTCCCAGCAGGGAGCAGGGCTAGATACAATTCTATCCAAGCCAGTACATATGGCTACTTGTTGCATTCTACCTGTTAGATATGATTTGATCCGCTTTAGCGTCACCTCTCGGATACCATATCGGTACAGTTTCTTGAATAAAATATCGTAGTTTAGGGTATCATATGCTTTTGTCAGGTCAAAAAAGAGGCCTAAGGAAAGGTTTCCCTTTTCCTGCTCACTTAGAACACAAGTTACCAAATTAAACAGAGCAGTCATTGTGGATTCTCCCTATAGATTCCCATGCTGACATTCATTGAATAATTTATTTTCATTCATAAATTCGACAATACGCTTACACATAACATGTTCAAATATTTTCGAGAATGTTTAAAGTAAACTGATAGGCCGGTAGTTTTCTAATTGACTTGCATCGCCTGTTTTTTGGAACTGGTATGACTACAGCAAACTTTAGTTGTTCTGGAAAGACCCATACCTTAACGAATTATTAATTATGTAAATCAGTGGTTGAGCAATTGCAACAGTTACAAATTTTAATAGGTTACTGGAAACTTCATCAAACCCGCTACTATGTTTATTTTTTATTTTTTTGAATTTATATCCGACTTTAGCATGACGGAAAAATTAACTTTTTCTACTCCCGTCTATAAAATACCTGATTACCCACCGTTCTAGCGTGCGGGAAGCGTCACTTTACCACTTCAGTATCCTTTCCCACGAATCCGAACCACTTCGGACATTTCCGGGATTTTGCCGCACGGATTTGGGAGCAATCGGATGTTTTCGGAGATATTTCCCATGCTTTGAATTTTGACGTTTGTCAATTCTGACGGTCATGTCAGTGAATGTATTCGTGTTGTTTTACGAAAAAGTACCCAAAAACTAACGGTCGTAGAAAAAGTATAATATGCAACACGTTCGGTAAACTTTTTAACTCACTCGTTTATTAAACACTCGCTCCGCTCGTGTCAAATAAACCCGTGAGTCAAATGCCGTTTACCGCACTTGTTGCATAATATACTATTAACGTTAATTAAAATGATGTATATTTTTTTAAATCTATAATAGAAATATGAGAGGTGCACAATTTTACTTAAAACTGAATTGCAAAAAAAATTATACAGTGGCCGTGTAATTTTTTGTATGTGTTTTGTGTGACATTTAGCATGCTCGTCTAATTTTTGGCAAAAAAACAAAATGTCAAAATGAAATTTTGGCTATTTGCTTTTAATGGGATCATGTAATATCTCTGTTTAAAGGTCTTTTCACGTTCTATTCGCATACCGAATTTGAAAACTTAACCTTAAATAGTTTTGTCATTTTATCAACTCTTTTATTAAATGTTCGAAATTATCACCTCGTGCACTTTGACAATAGTAAAGTCTGTCAATAAACTCGTTCCTAACACTGTGCCAAGTTTCTAGGGGAATTACACTGCAAACAAACAAACTTTCTCTTTCAGATCTTCAACTGAATTTGGTTTTGTAACATAAATTTCACTTTTTTGACTCTTTTGATATCCCCAAAGGAAAAAGCCAAGAGGTGTTAGGTCTGGCGATCGAGCTGGCCGTTCATTCAATGGTGCCGTCCAATTCACCTATTACGGAAAGTAACATTTAACCATCCTGTAACAAGTCATAGGCTTGACGCACTCACAGTAATCTAACATCACCTGGCACTAATGCTATATTCACACGCATCATTACCTAAATGAAATTAAAAATGCATTTAATTATTTTTTTTGTATTGCAAAAACTGTAGTAAGTAAAAAAAAACTTAAAAAGAGGTATCCAGTGACACTTAAAATGGCGCGCTGCTATCATTTTGACCTATTGTTTTTATGTCAAAAATTGGACATTTTATTTACGCTATATACCGGGTGACCCGTCAATAAAGAACGCCGGCCATATTTCAGGAACCGTTAGTCCTACATCTCTACTCCTACATTCATAAAATGGCTGCTAGGGGGCGTAACCTCGCTAGTAAAATAGAAAAAACGGGATTCCTCAAAAATATTACAAATTAACCTATATCAAAATTAGATCTAGCGTAATCTCCTCTAGATAAGGAAACGTTTTTGTTTAAACAATTCTCGTCAAATTAAGAGTGGGGGAAGTGTCAAATATTGGTTTAGAAAAAGTTGAATAACTTTTTTTTGGCTTATCCGATTTCGACGAACTTAGTTTAGTTTTAAAGAGTATTTCTAGGAGCTTGGAGTGGCATGTCAATATCACGATATTAATTCTTTCACGAGTCGGTAGGAGATGCTTTATGTGAAAAACAGCTATTTTTATGATTTTCTCGAAAATTTCAAATATAATGATATAAATATTTTTGGTTAGAATGAAAGAGCGCAAAAAAACACAGCAAGTAGTGGAAACGGCATATCCTTTTTCCCCTTTGAGATATAAATACAAATATGTTTATTAAAAACATTTTTGAACCGTAGCATAGTAATAGTACCAGAGACAACAGACGTGACGTTTGACATTATATTTTCTACTAGAGTTAAATTTGATTTTGTCCTAATTTGTCCATAGTAATCGCCAATAATCCATAATAGTCATATCTCAATACAATACAAAAAGTGTTTGACCCTAAGTATGTATTCTATTTATAGCATCTTTATGTATACAGGGTGTTCCGTTGTGCCGGGACAGCAGCCAATTTTATTTTTTTAAATGGATATTTTTTAAAAATTCTAATTATTCGTTTGATTTGAGAACTATATATTTCCATTGATCGATATCTGTGATCGATAAAAAAGGGATTTTTTTCTGAAAGATAGTGCGCCATTTACTACCGTAATGCCTCTTAGGGGTTGTTTAAATCAACGTTTTCCATTTTGGTATGATCGCTACGGGACCATGGATTGGCCGGAAAGGAGCCCTGACTCGACGCCCCTGGATTTTTGTATGGGTCTGGATAAAAGACGCATGTAAGAATAAGTGTAATAGTGTTCAAGGCTTAAAAATGAGAATTCGACAAGAGGTAGAAGCACTTAAGGCTTCAGAAGCGAATTGAAATGCTATTGCAAAAATTGTTGTATTGCCAAAGATGGAGGTTATGTAGAAAATGATTTGCAACTAGTAATAACTTCTATTTACTTGCATTACTTACTGATTTTATATTGAATTAATATAAAATTAAAAAAAATAGTTAGAATAGGATGTTAGGATTTAAAATAAAATATAAAATTGGCAATCTACCATTTTTTGTGATAACACCTATATATAAGAAGAAATTAAATCCCAAACCCAATGAAAGTGGTAAATACGCGGTGTTCCATTTAAAAAATATAAGTTTTTTAATTAGAAAAAAAAACGTTTTTGGTGGTCACACTGTATAATACGTTTTCGCCATAGATTCAAGTGTATAAAAAAAATCCTAAAGACCTATTTTTGCTCAAAAAATGGAAAAGTAAATTTTCGTCGAAAAATACTCAAAATTTTTTATGTTATATACAATAAATAAAGTATCTATATACTATGGGTCAAACACTTTTTTAATTTATGTTTTTTTCCTCAGTGTCGTACTTTTTGCTGAGACACTTAGTACAACCCAATAAATGAGATTCTTTTCATTTGCAGTAACAAATATTGTTTACCAGCACAAGTTATTGTTGTTCCAACATATTTCAAGTTCAACATAAGCATAATACAGGCTCAGATAAGCGCGGGCACTGCTGTCTATTAATAAAACCTTGAAAACTATTGATGAGAGATTTAAGATCCCTCACTTGTGTAATTTTTTTCAGAATATTACCACTGATAGAGTAGTTGATATGATGGAACATTTTTAAACGTATTAGAAATTGGGAGATACAGTCATTCCTGGTTCATAACTCGAATATTACACCAAATAGAGGTGAATATTTTTCTTAAATTCTTTATATCAAGATGTTCATGGACATAACTAGACTCGTTGGTATTTTTTCACAACATTATTTTTAATAACAGTCCTCCTTACTTGACAAATAAAATAACATATCGGACAGATTTTCACAGATTGAACCTTAGATTTAGGGGTCTTATCTCTCCATCACCACACAGGACGTCTGTTTTTCAAAGAAACTTCTCCTATAACGTTTACAAACTTTACAATACCGTGCACTATTAAACTTAAAAAAAAAATAACACAACAAATATTCAGCCAACAAGCAAATTGCAAGTGATTTTCGAGTAAGTCAAGTCCTAAAATTTTCTATCCAATTTTTAATTTGTATATACACGTACAAATTTTCTTTTTTTGCAATAATTATCTCATGCGAACTAATAATTTTAAAACAGTTGCTATATATTATTTTATAGGGGTTGAACTTGGAACAATTTTAATTGCTTTCATCTCCTTTTTTGCAATTTATGTGGTTTATTGGTATTTTATTGTATTGTAAATTGAACATTGCAGTTATGACTATTCTAAATTACTGCAAGCCTTCAAAATACATACAACATATAGCTAAGTTTATAGTTATTGTACTTAGTAATCATCAATATATTTGTTATTATCTCCGAGCCAGTGTTACTACACTGTTTTTAGAGATTAAGGTATAAGAGATAATGTATATTTGAAGTCCATGAAGTTTTTAAAAAAAATACTCTTACCGTCTACTAATTACTGATCATAAAATCCATGACCAAATTAATTCCCATTCGTCACGGCACTCGCGACCTTTTAACTGCGACTTTGGGCCGAATAAATTCGAATTAAATTATTAATTGCGGAAAGGGACGTCCGAAAAGAACGCGGTCAAACGCAAAACACTCGTGCGTCAGCACATTACAATGTAGTTTCGAAAAAATCGCTTCAAAGGGGAACGACGACAAAACCGAACCCCAGCAGCGACGAATCGAAACTATTCCTGCGATCCTGCGACCTGCGGGGCTGCTGGCCGCTTGGAGTGAGAAGATATGCTTCGTGCGACGTTGCCGAACTGATCTCCGCAAAAATCCTACAGGAAATGCATCGCGTTTTGATATCAGAAAAATTCTGTGGATTTACTCACTTTACTTGATAATTTAACTATTTAAGCAGCAATTTTTAAGATATTTTAATTGTCCTTAAGATTATTGAATTTGATAAAAATCCATTTAACACAATTAGAGCTGAACGAAAAATTTTCAGTTATTTATTGGTTTACGATACACCGTGCCTTTATCAAATAAAAAATTTGACAATATTCGGACAACTCTACAGGGTGTTTTAAAAAGAAAACCTCATATGAACATGTGTCCTAAACATCTTAACTATTGAGATACAGGGTAGTAGGGTTTTCAAAAATAGAACTGAGGTGGCTTTTACTTGATGAAAATCCATTTAACCAAATAAATAAGAACTAAAAGTTCAGATTTTAACGAAATTATATATTTTCACAGAACAATTATTTCAATACCTTGTCTTTATCAAATGCAATATTTACAAACTACCTGCTATGGTCTGTTCATTGATATAAGAAAGTGACTAACTGATACGAATTAAGGAAAGACCCGGGCAAGCTGTAAGAATGAAATATGGCCGAAAAGGTCCGTACTTTGCTAAAAATTTAATTATTTGGGGTTTTGTTAGGAAAGATATTAAACAATATTTATTTATTTATGTATATATTTATGTTTAAATCTAAAATAAAATTACAAATTATTTTTATTACCTACTTGAGTTACTTAAAACTATTCACATAATATATCAGTATCGTTATCGTTATCATCGTCTGTTCCAATTATTATTTGTTCTATATTATTTGCAATATGGATATACGATTGTTCTGCTTTTTCTATATGCTTAACAGAATTTGCCCAACTTACTATATATACTGAAAAATGACAATAAAACCTTAATTAATGTTGTTGTGAGAATTTAAGTTCAATAAAGGAGAGGTATTTAAATCTAATTGATCCTTAAGCAATACATTGGAATGTCTCAATTTGTTTTAATCTCCATGGCTTCCAATAAATTTAATTTTCTACTTTTTGAGGCTGTATGTAAAATATCTAAGTTGTCGTCAAAAATGTGTTTTTGTGTGGTTAAGTGTGTAGCATAATTCGAATCTAGACGATTGTTTTTAAACGCTCTTTTAAGTTCGCTAATGCGTTTCTTGAAGGATCTTCCTGTTTGTCCAATATAAATTTTAGAACAAGAACCGCATTTCAACCTGCAGACACCTGACTTTTGAGATTTTGAACATTTCGTTTTATTGTTTTTTAAAAATTTTCCTATTGTGTTGTTAGTTCTGAAAGCTATTTTTAAACCCCATTTTGACAAATGTTTTGAAACTTTTTCACTGGGTTCTCCTATGTATGTAATTGTTTTAAATTGTTCGTGTTCTGTATTAGGTTTCGGATAAATAGAGTTTACTGTTGTCTGGATTTGCTTTTATTTTTAATTTTATCTGTAATGGACGGATTGTAGCCGTTGTTCAGTGCAATTTTCTGTTAAGAGTGGCGTATTAAGAAGTCTGTGTATAAAAGGGTGAAATGCAGCCATTTTCTGTGTATAAGGGTGATTTGAGCTGTTATGTATGACTGGGTCCATGTGTGAAGGTTTATGATAAATAGAAAAATCTAATTAGTTTTGCGTTTTCGTAATAGTTAATTCTAAAAAATTAATAGAGTTATCCTGTTCAATCGCGATAATGAATTTAATAGGATTATGTAATGAGTTAATGTAATTTACAAAAGAATTCAATTGTCTCTTCGTTCCAACAAAGCAAACAAAGACATCATCCACGTATCTATACCACCATAGAAAATTTTTACTTAAAGAATGTTCTAGTATGATTTTCCAAATTATCCATAAAAATCTCTGCTAACAAAGGACTAAGTGGGTTTCCCATAATCAAGCCATCCTTAGAGATGTAAATCTGTCCATTAAATTCTCAATAATTTCGGTCTAAAGATACTATTACGCAATCTAATAAATCTTGTTTCACCAATGGGTTAAATTGTTTCCGAGTTATGGTGAAATGTACTAAATCTATCACATCTATAGGTGGAATACTGGAAAATAAGTTTTGTACATCAAAAGACACTTGTGTTGCGTTAGAAGAGATTTTGATATCTTTAATTTTGTTGATTAATTCAAAAGAATTTTTTATTGCGAATTTAGGTTTAAAATCTGTATGGAACTTTAAAATATTTACTAATTTTGTTTTTTTATTAACTGCTGGAGCTGTTACATAAGACACGACTGGTCTAATGGGCATATCTTGTTTATGTAGTTGAGCTAAAGAATATAATTTCGGCGGTTGTGGATTCATAATTTTTAAAAAATACTTGTCTTTTTTACTAAATAGTCTGGAGTTAGTAATTACTTCATTGACTTGTCTTTGATATAACTTGGTAGGATGGTGTTTAATATATTGGAAAAGTTCTGGGATATCGATAGCTATGACTGTCTTCCCTTTATCTGTACGAGTAAATATTATGTTATTTTCAGAAGCTTTGTTTTTGATAGTTTTTACTAGTGACATTTGAGAAATTTCTTTGTGTTTGTTGTCTATTAATTGAGAGTTTATTATATTCGCTAATACATATTTGTTTAAATTAGAATCGTTAATGTCCTTAATTGCTGGTTCATATGCGACCCCTAAACAATCTAATTCTCTATTAATATATGAGGGTAAAAATAAAATATATTCTTAATATCTGCAATACCGCTTTAAATATTATAATCAAATTTGGCACACATGTGCTTTGTATCAAGAGGCATTATTTACTATCAATCTCCGATCATTTCTAAAGAAATTTATTTATTAATTACTTGCTTCAAAAATTAAAAACCTCTTCACTGCACGGTCATAACAATATCGACAAATATGACAGCATGCATATTTTTAGATGAAAACCGTAAGACTAGTTAAGTCGAGAACTTTTTTTGTGAAAAATAAAATATCTATCGAAAACAAGATATCTGGTTTTTAGTTACCAACTAGCGTCCTTCAGAAAAAACAATATTAGAAGATTGTACTTTTTAGTTTTACAGTTTTAATGAAATAATCTAACATCCTAATAACAAAATAAATAATAAACGATTGTTATTAAAAAAAAAGTTCTACCCACTATTAATATTTTTTAACAACTTTGTCTGTTAATAAATTAATAACAACCCTTTTGAAAAAAGTAGAACACAGAAACTCTTTGAAGTATACTTTCAGTGTTTCTTATTAATTCCCAGAAAACTCTGATACGATCCTTCAACTCCTCTACAGTGTTAATTGGGGTTCGATAAACCAGATGCCTTCATAAGAAAAAGTCCAAACTATTTAAGTTTGGGGACCTAGGAGGCCATGGTTGATGTCCGCCAACACTGCACTGCAACACTTATTGCAACACTAAAGTTATGTTCCTAATTAAATATGGTACTTCTCCTAGAAACATTGGCAAAGCAACTTCTAAAAACCGGCAATAATTATTGCCATTTATCCTTTCTAGCAGGAAAAAGGAGTCAATTAGTAAATAGTACTTCTTGGTCAAACAAGTGAAAATGCACAGTTTTGTCTAAAAACCTTGACAAATATCTGTGAATATATAAAATGCATATCTGCCAACTCCTCATTAGTAAAATGCTGATGTCAAATAATTGTCAAAATGATTCTCTGCATGCTGTCATATTAACGACGTTGTTATGATCATTCAGAGAAAAGAAAGAATTAATTTGTTTTAGAAATGGTTCTAAGAATAATTTTTATTTTAGGAGAAATCAGTGGCCAATGTCTTCCAAAATGGACAGGTGAAAATGCCGGGCACTGGTGTATTTTTAAAAAAATTGGGGCACACTAAATAATGCCTCTGCCAAATTTCATTAAAACTGATGTTATAGATAATAAAAAATCTATTTTATTTTTGAAAATTTTACCACTTTAAGATGCTTAGGACACATGTTCACATGAAGTTTTATTTTTAAAATAAACCCATAAAACGTACCCTTCATTATTGATACTTAATTAGAAAACACCCTGTATAATTGCAATTGCAATGCAAATTCGGGACATCCTGTATACACGAAATTACTATACTTTACACGATGAAACTGTTTTGTATTTTATTTATTTGTTATGTTCATTTTCAAATGCCATAAGTATGCTTCCATGAAATAAATGGATGTAAACGAAAATATTTTAGAAACGGCAACCATGTTCTCACGCCATTGTTGGTTACAGCGCAGGAATTCTGTGAAACGTATGGAGCGGAATAGTTTGATACGAAGGATACACGTCATCGTCTCCGAGTGGTACGGATTTATAGTTTCTAATGTTTATTTATCTTATACAGAGTGGATCGCGCGGTTTCGAAATAGTTCGAATGCATTTTTTGTCGTCACAACGAAACAAAACGATTTGTTTACGTCCAGGTTTAAATGATCTATACATTGTTCATTTTTTTATTCCAATTAACACCATACTAACATTGGGTTTTCTTATTGGAAATTAATTATCACTAATCGCACATACCGCATTGGCTATTTAGCACCTAGCAAATAGTGACGTTTAGGTGCGTATTCCGAAATAAAATAAATGCAAAATAAATAGAGGCTTTATTAAAAGTACATTATGTATATTACATAATAGTATAAGTGACTAACAAAGCTCACGTCTTAAAGTAAAAAAAAATGTCCAATAGATTTTTTTCTAATTTTTTAAAGAATGAAAGATTAAGACGAAAGAACCAAGGATTTTGAAATTAAAAATTAAATACAAACTAATAAACGATAGGATTTCTTGTCACAATTTTATATATAATAATATAATGAAATTACAACTTACAAAGGTAACCTGTGGGGAGCATGTTATTCTTTCACTATTATTTAAGATCCATAAGTGTCAAAAAACTGTACGCAACCAGTTATACATTTAAGTCTACCTTTATTTTATTATAACATAACAGTTATTTATAATGGGTTTATAACAATTTTTATAGTGGTAATCCAGCAGTACGTATTTAATAGATGGGCCATAGATAACAAAATTGGTAGTTGACGCAACCATAGTTTTTTAAATCATTTTCAACAGCTGATGTACCGAAAATAAACACATTGTTTGGCCATATAATTTTGCCATTACATTGTTTCAATGATTAAATAACTACCAAAAAACTGGCTCTTTTTTAATTTTTGCTAACAACTTGAAACTAAGAGGGTGTGAACTTTACTATTACATATCTTGAAAACATTACGATTTTTATACCCACTGTTTCGCCATTTTGTATAATTTCCTAGTTAGCACTTTAGCAACACTGTGCAGCTGGATAACCTTTGGAGACCACAGATCATATTTCACCTGTCAGCTAAGTAAGCAAACTTTTTTTTTATAAGAAACCACTTCATGTTTACAAATTTAGTGAGAGTACAATAAATATCAAGTTATTTTAAGTTTTATTTTTTTTATTTTAAGTTTTATTTTTTTTATTTTAAGTTTAATAAAACTTTGGCGTTGGTTATTTTAGGATTTTTAAAAAGCTTTTGCAGCGTTTCTAGAAACCCTATTTTAAAATTTTTACACAATTTGAAATAAGTTTCATGAGTTATTTATGCAGTTTCAACTTTTGCTGCTGTTAGTTGGGGTTAACAATTCCTCGATATCGAGCAACACTTATGGAAAGTTACGATACTAACCTTCCTCGTCTATCGTGATCAACTTTCCATCTATTCTTTGATTTCGTGGTTGGGCGAGTGTTCCTAGTAAATGAGCCAACCTTGCTTGGAATGAAGAAGAAAAGGATGGTTGCGTTGTGTTGGGTTTATGTTTTATAGTGGTCGATTTTGACTATTATTCAAAGTAAACCTAAAAATATAAAAAATTATGGATTTCCAAAACAGACCTGGTGGTAAAACGGGCGGAGGTGGGGTAGCATCATGGTCAGAAACTAACCGTGATCGCAGGGAGAGGTTAAGGCAACTGGCATTGGAGACTATCGACTTGCAGAAGGATCCTTATTTTATGAAAAATCATTTGGGTTCATACGAATGTAAGCTCTGTTTGACTCTACACAACAACGAGGGAAGCTATTTGGCTCACACGCAAGGCAAGAAGCATCAAGCTAATTTGGCCAGGAGAGCCGCCAAAGAGGCCAAAGACGCGCCCAGTTTGTTGCAGCCCGATAAACCCAGAGTCGAGCCGAAAAAGTTCGTTAAAATCGGCCGGCCTGGTTATAGAGTAACCAAGCAAAGGGATCCCGAAACGGGCCAGCAGAGTTTGTTGTTTCAAATCGATTACCCTGGTACTTTGTTGGGGTTATTGCGCGCAAAGTTTTGTTAATCCGTTTTTTGTTTTCAGAAATTGCTGATCATGTTTTACCCAGGCACCGATTTATGTCCGCCTACGAGCAAAGAATTGAACCGCCAGACCGCAAGTGGCAATATTTGTTGTTTGCTGCCGAACCTTATGAAACGATTGCATTCAAGGTAGGTTATTTTCGATTGATATGGATAGTATCTGATTAGTATTGGCGATCTTCTAGGTTCCGAGCCGTGAAGTAGAGAAAACAGAAAATAAGTTTTGGACCCACTGCAACCAAGACACCAAGCAGTTCTTCTTGCAGTTTGCTTTCAAAATAGAGAACAAAAAGCAAACAACAATTGTTACTCGTCCTGCGATGATAGGCGGAGTGCCTCCTCCTCCAATGTTGCCGGTTCCACCCCCACCGAGGGCGCCCATGTTCAACGCCATTCCGCCTCCTCCTCCCATGATGAGAACTGTTATGCCGGTTCCTCCACCCCATTAATTGTGTAATGAATATAACATTGTAAACGGCAACAAGCAAATCTGAGTTAATAAAACTCTGTTTAACGTATTTTGTAATATATTCTTGAAAATAATGATCCTGAGCTAAATAGGGCTTGGAAAAATATTGAGATTCAATTGAACTATACGTTTCGCAATTTCAGTTGGGACCATAGTGAGATATGACTTTCTTTTTTTAATGCTATTGGCCAAGTTAGTCAGGATCATTGGACCATTTTCTGACCGAATGATGAGACACTTCCAAAAATCTGAGAGAATGCCTTAATTAAGAGACTACGTATGTTATCATCATCAACCAGGGGCAGCTATACAATCATTAATAAATGGAAGAAAAATTTAGCCATCCAAAGAAAGGAATAGCAATCGAAAAATGCACAGTGAAGTTCTTCTTCCTCTTTTACTTCTGTTGGGCATAGTGAGGTTATTCTCCATATTCTTCTCGCTTCTATGGGATCGTAATTCGCATGAGAGATCCACCCAAATTCTTTAAAAGATAATAAAGTTTAGGCATTATTTGATTGTTATTTTTCTATGGCTCAGGCGGTTTTCACAATATCGAGATGAATTCGCCGCTATACGCAAGCATCAAAACCATATAATAACATAATTTTAAAATTATCAGAAGATGCTTTATGCTATCTTTCTATCTTTAAAAATAAAACCTAATTTAAAAATTTAGAACTATTTACGTAGGTTATATGGTAACGATATGTTTACCCTTCATAGATAGAATTATTAATTTAATTGCCGTAATCGATTTTAATTATTTTCACGGGTACCAAATACTTCGCATTTGAAAAACTCCTGTCACACGAAACCTCCTTTTCCCACCACTACAATAAAGATTTATTCTTAACCATAAAGACCATAACACGACCTGTGCAATGTCGACAACAATGCAATTAAAGAAGAATAAGAAGAACTCTACAATAAAACAAAAAAAAAAGACTGCAAACAACGGTGTCACCAAGAATCGTTAACCTAACAGGATTGCCCAATCCCATAAGACATACGTTCGCCAAAATTATGGATCGCACGTGGTCGCTTGTGACGTAGCGAAGTCCTCTAACGGTGTTTTTGTATTCTGTCAATGCATTTGAAGGCGTATTACACCATTGAATTTTGTGTTCTTTGAACAATTAAAATAATTTAAACTAGTGAGTAGTGCGCTTATGTTTGTGTTAATTGTATTTCTGTAAAAAAAACTTGAACAAAACAGTGTTTTTAAGCTTTAACAAATACTTTAAAATTGTATGTGCTTAGTGGCGAGAACTGAGAAAAACAGTATTTTTAACCTTAAACAAAGACTTTGGTTAGTTAGTTAGGAAGTAAGCTCAAAATATTACACATAATAATATAGGTAAATGTAAGAAATACATTTCTTTTACCTTTTTCAGTGGGATAAGTTACAACAAAAAATAGTTAGGTATGCCTAGAACGAGATGTGCCCTGTATGTCTGCAATAACAACTATTTTCATGAAAAGCAAGTTCTCGAAAATTTAGTTTTCATCGCTTTCCCAAAGGGAAAGATCTAGTATCCCGAACTATTCAGAACGAGTCGATAGTTCGATGTAGAAGAGAGGACAAACACAAAACAGATATTCCCAATTTAGGAGATTATACTTATAAAATTACCACAGATCATCATTATAGCATTCCGTCTTGGGTACAACAGTTATCATATGGGGGCCTTATAAAGCCTTCTGATCATTTTTTTTTAAATAAAAAATGGAACTTTTATTTTGAATTTCATTATGGTGATTCATTTCGAAAAGGGCAAGGGGTGGCAAAAAACTTAGCAAAAGAAATATTTAAAACAGAAAAAGTATTACCATTTAGTTTAGTTAGAGATTTTTGTAAGCTGAGAACAATAATTCATATAAACTTCAGAAATTTAAAAGTAAAATATAACGTTAGTCTAAAAAGAAAATCTTTGCAAGATGATACCCGCAGAAAAAAAATTTGAAAGTATGGTAAAATTGTATAATAAAGATTTAAGTATATGTAGTAATATGTATTTTTTATATTATGTACATATGAGGGTACATATAAATACATATTATTATTTACCTACCACCTATAAATAGTTGTTGTGTATGCCTAATATATTTTTTGTTTTTAATATGTTCTTTAATATATCCAAAAATAGGGATTTCTGGTTTATAAGTATTTGTTAATTTTTGTATATTTAAAATGGTAGAATGCTGTAAAACACAAAGTTTTACAAGTAAATCGTTTTGTTTGCTAGTTTTATATTTAATAATATTATTATTTAATTTTTAATTAATATATGTATTTCAAGATAATACATATAAGCCAAACTTGATTGCAATAGTATTATTCTTACCCTACCTGAGACCCTACCCTACGTCACTTCCCAATAATTATTAAATAAGTACTGAAACGATTTAATGTTGACATTAAATGAACATAACGGGTGATTATCCAAACAAAATACTATATTAGGCCATCAAAACTCGGGTCAGTTTCAGATTATTTCCATGCATTTACATAGTAAACGCGCCAATATAGGACTTCACCTACGTCACAGCCAGCGAGAGTTTTCGCATTGCGCTTGGGGACAGATTTGGTGGATTAGACAATCCTATTAGGTTTACGATTCTTGCGGTGGCACCACACAAACGGGTCGCTTTTAAGTTTATATATTTGTACGTTTTATTTGAGGTATTTGATACTGAAAAAGTGAATTTTCAGAATTAGTTTATGGGATTAAAATATTAGTTTTATTTTTTGTGTGTCTTTTACAGGATGTCAATATCTAAGCTTAGATTAGTGAAGTAAAACGTATGTTAGTATAAGGTGTTGAGGGCTTTCTTCTCAAAGGCTTCCATAAATATATTCGCGATGACTGGTGATAGTAGAGAACCCATAGCTGTTCCCAACGTTTGTTCAAAAAATTTTTACAAATATTTGTTCAAACTTATTTTTTTTACATTTTAAATTTACTTTTATTACTTATTTAATCCTTGTAATAGCAATATCAAAAATAGGTTTTTCACATGATTCATTTAAAAATAATATTACAATTATAATATATATATTATATTTCAAACACTAATATGAGAAGCAATTAAACCTTTTTTTATCCGCCTATATTTTTGATATTATGAACTCCATACAGCCAGATGAACCTGTTCTTTAAACCGACATGGCCGTTGACAGGTCGTCAATTTGACAGATGTCAGTTTAGATGTAGCGCTAAATGTTAAATGTCTCGGGAAAACGAATGAAAAGGGTGGAGATCGATGTTTAGGAAGAAAATGGCGCAAAGTACAGATTAGTGGGTGATGCAAGTATGATGGACACTCATTCTGAATAATTTAAAAAAGAAAACTAAAGTAAATACCATCACATTCTTTATTGTTAAGTTTCAAGAACAAATTACCGTTAATCACCTGGCAAATTGGGCCTTAACTAATCGGCCGACGTAGGCTAAAGCGATAAAAGTTTTGTTGGGCGATAGCCTCTGCCTCAACAAGTAATAGAACCCTCCCCTAAATATCAAATAAATAACAACAAGGGCGGCGATATCGATCCAGATAATATTGTCTTGCATTCCGATTTCCTTCACGAAATATTCCAGGTCGGTGTAGATGCAAAACTCTTCATGCTCCGGACACGCGAGTTTTTCTCTCCCGGTGAGCATCGTCTGGATGAGGCCCTCTAGCGAGTAACGTAGGTAACTACAGTACATCGCGATCCGTATCCACTTGGGAATCGAATAATATCCACCGCCGAATCCGTACACAGCGAGAAGCATGAAAGGTACCGCTATGACAGGTCCAACGAATACAGAATTCTGAAAAGAAAAAACAAACAAATGCAAGCAAATTATTTTCTAACGTAATGGGCGAATGATCCAAGGAGACTGGCCAAAGTTTAAACGTAAAAAGGAAGAAAATTCCTATCATAATTCTATAGTCATAAAGAGTTACCTTTTTCTTAAATGATTTTAGTCTGTTTTTCGTAAATCGGTATGAAACACGATAAATGTCCGAAAATTGAAGCTATCGCCTTGAAATTAATTTATTGAAACTGGGGGTCGAGAAGTATTTTTAAAATTTTAAAAATCGCATAGGGGTTGGAGAAAGAAAAATCATTTCTCAAAAACGGTATGTATGATCGAAAAAATTCTTGATCTAGAAAAGGTTCGAGATCCGTGCCAAGAACCTTTATTCTTGATGATTTTTTTAAAAATGTATAGTGTGTTCGGGATATTCCGAGCGATATTCAAAAATATTGTCTCAAATTAGGAGCTATCGACTTCAAATTTAGCAGAGAAGTAAAGACCACACCCACATCAAAGCTCTGAGAACTCTGACCAAATATTATTGAACCATTTTTCAATTTTTTTTTTGGATTATTTTGGCTTGAGGATAAAAATTAGTTTCTTGAGAACTATTAACTCAATCGGCAAAATTCTTTAACCAAGAGATTCGGTACGATAACTTTTATTTCAACGATTTTTTCGATTATATCCAGGGTTTTTTAATTATGAACAAAAATCAAAAAGATCTTGAAAATCCTTTTTTTCCAAAGTAAATTATTAGCCGTAAATTAAAATTCATGAAGAACATTCCTAATTGATTTGAACTACAATTTTTGTGTTTACTGTTTTCGCCTATCATACGCTGCTCGAGATATTTGAAAAAAATCCATATGAAAATCGATGTCGTTGATAACAATTACGGGCTACTGCATAGATAGCTTCAGGAAAAAATAATTTTCGCGAAAACCATGGGAAAATTTCATGAACCAGAAAATGTGGGAGGTTCAATGCTTTGACCCCTACTTCGGGCATTTTTTGAATTATATACAGGGTGTGTTGTTGATGGGCAAAAATTCAAAAATATCGTGAAGTCTTCTGTTTTTGTTTGAAAGACGGCAAAAGATGGGATAATTTGGTTTAAACTGTATTGTAAACTATGCCGAGAGCTACAATTTTCTATTTACAGTTTTCGTTCATCACACAGGGCGTGCGAGATATTTGGAAACATATTATTGGGAATGTCTAGAGCTAGTACACATTTTTATATTTATCAAAGTTTGCCATTACTTTGAACCTCGGCAAAACATGAAAGTCACTCTACACAGGGTGCGCTAATTGCATGTATTTTGTGAAGTTCCATAGTTGTTCCCAGGAGCAAGATAGAAAAACAATGCTTTTCTTTAGGACAAGAGAGCAGTCTTCTCTATGTATGTTATTGACACATGTTTATTAAAAAACATTTTTTTAAATATTATAACATTTAAACATTTAACGTTTAAATATTTTAAACATAAAACAGAATATTTGTTTACTTTAAATATTTCTCCTAATTTGCACGGAGAAGATATCGGGAAATAATAAAGTATTCTGAATAAATAAGTAAGACATTTCCTCAAGCGTCCGGTAGGTGGCACATGTAACATGCAATTTTACCCTAGTTTGACATGTGACATTTCGTTTCTTATATTTACGCCTCCAAGATTGTGTCGTATCTAATTTACCCTTAAACCCAGCGCCTATTAAATAGTACTTACGACAATGGAAAATTGCGACGCGATTAGAAGCCCCAAGCTTTCGCTAATTGCATGTATTTTGTGAAGTTCCATAGTTGTTCCCAGGAGCAAGATAGAAAAACAATGCTTTTCTTTAGGACAAGAGAGCAGTCTTCTCTATGTATGTTATTGACACATGTTTATTAAAAAACATTTTTTTAAATATTATAACATTTAAACATTTAACGTTTAAATAATTTAAACATAAAACAGAATATTTGTTTACTTTAAATATTTCTCCTAATTTGCAGGGAGAAGATATCGGGAAATAATAAAGTATTCTGAATAAATAAGTAAGACATTTCCTCAAGCGTCCGGTAGGTGGCACATGTAACATGCAATTTTACCCTAGTTTGACATTTCGTTTCTTATATTTACGCCTCGAAGATTGTGTCGTATCTAATTTACCCTTAAACCCAGCGCCTATTAAATAGTACTTACGACAATGGAAAATTGCGACGCGATTAGAAGCCCCAAGCTTTCGGAGATAACGGCGGTCATCATACAAATGAAATAGAACATGCTCAGCCTGTTCAGTTCCATGGGTTGATTTGTAAGGAAGTACACAAGCATTACGTAAATACAACCCAATACCAGATGGACGGGCAGCGTGGAAGTGGTAAGTGCCGCAAAGTAAGCACTCAGCCGGTACCATTTGTTGAAATGCTCCCGTTTTATGAGTTGAAACTCTCTGGGAACTGCAAAACGGTTTTACAATCTTTATGTAGATCATTTAGTGTTTTTTTTTTTAAGTAAAAACAATCGAAATGAAAGGTGTTTATTGTTATTTCATAGCTAGCATCGCTATAATATGGCCTATAATTTAATTTTTCAAACTTCCACAGGCTACTGTAATACTATTTCCAAATCTTCTGCATTCGTGGGTTGCTGACGTTGACTATTGGCTTCTTCAGGGTTTAACTTAACTTTGGGTGCATTTTAAAAAGGAAACTTCAATGAATATCCTAAACGTCTTAACTTTTGAGATCAGAGTGCTAAAGTTTTCAAGAATATATTTTTTTATTTTCTGTAATAAAAAAATCAATGTAATAATCTGTATATAATATGTTACTCTCTGAAGAAGCCAATAATGATTAGCAACTTCAGTTTCAATTCAGAAGATTTGTAAATAGTCTATAACCTGTAATTTTCTATGATTTCCTACTTACATTGCAATAAACACGGCATCATGGGGATGTACATGAAAAATATGAGACAAATAAAATAAAATCCAAACACGAACAGTGTTTTCGAGCCGTCCACCCCCATACCGAGGTAAACGTTACCGATCAAGACGCCAGTTATTATGTGCAAAATTACCCTCAGCAACATGTAACACTGAAAATAAAATTTGAAGCCTTTAAACTACGACTAAGCATTATTTAATTCTCACCTTGTCCCTCCACATTTGCACCCACATCCTCATCAGTAATATTTTGTACTGTTGCATCCATCCCAACTTTTCTTTTGGGTAATTACTGTGGATTTCCGGGGTATCGTCCTCCGCATAAATACCATTTACGGAAAATTTTCTTTCACTCTCCGTCAGTCTTGTATCATTCTTCTCGCAGTACTTAATCCTTCCGTTGTCGATGGTGGAAACAAGTTTTTCTTGGTAATTTCCGTATTCTCCGCTGGCCACTTCGATAACTAGAAATAATTTCAATGATTATTTTAGCGGTCTAACCGTGACTTGCCTGGCCTATCATAGACCGAAGACTTTTTGCTCTCAATTTTAAATCACCCGTAAGAAATTAACAAGCAGTACTTACTAAACTCAGCCGCATTGTAATGTTTATAGCAGTGCAAATCTAAATTTAAAAGAACTTCAATACAAATTATTGATAAAAAGTCATCCTTTATAGCTGTCTATTAAATTTTAACTTACATTTTAATAATTGAAATCACCTGTAACAAGTAAACAAGCAGTAGTTACTAAAATCACCGAAATTGTAAAGTTTAGGGCAGTGCAAATCTAATTTTGAAAGACAGATGACCACATCCAATCCTAACCGTGATAAAACGTCACTCCAGAAATGAACAAGCCCTACGTATTATAGGCAGCGGGACTGCAATGTTTAGGTCAGTGCAAATATAAATGTGTAAGAACTCTAATCTTAATGCTGGATAAAATGTCGTCCTTTAAAGCTGTCTAGTAAAATTTTACTTTCGGTTTCCTATTTTAAATCACCCGTAAAAAATTAACAAGCAGTACTTACTAAAGTCAGCGGGATTGTAATGTTTAGGGCAGTGCAAATAAAAATATGAAGGAACTCTAATCCTAATCCTCAAGAAAATATCAGCTGTCTAGTAAAATTTTATTAACATTTTATTTACTGTAAGAAATGAACAAGCTGTTTTTACTAAAATCAGCGAGATTGTAATGTTTAGGGCAGTGCAAATCTAAATTTGAAAGAAAGTCCAATCCTAATCCTTGATAACAAGTCACTCCGCAAGCCCGTAAAAAAATGAATTAGCCGTTCTTACTAAAGTCAGCGGGACTGCAATGTTTAGGTCAGTGCAAATATAAATGTGAAAATGTTATAGCTGTCTAGTAAAATTTTACTTACATATATATACTTGAAATCACCTGTAAGAAATTAACAAGCTGTACTTAATAAAATCAGCGAGATTGTAATGTTTAGGGCAGTGAAAATCTAACTTTGAAAGAAAGATGACCACATCCAATCCTAATCCTTGATATCAAGTCACTCCGCAAGCCCGTGAAAAAATGAATTAGCCGTTCATACTAAAGTCAGCGGGACTGTTTTTGATGTTTAGGGTAGTGCAAATAAAAATGTGAAAGAACTCAAATCCTAATTCTTGATAAAATGTCGTTCTTTATAGCTGTCTAGTACAATTTTACTTACATTTTGATATTTTAAATCACCCGTAAGAAATGAACAAGCCCTCCTTACTAAAATCCGCAGGATTGTAATGTTTGGGCAGTGCAAATAAAAATGTGCAAGAACTCTAATTCTTATTATTTATAGCTGCCTACTAAAATTTTACTTACATTTTGATATTTTCACCTGTTAGAAATCAACCGGCCATACTTACTAAACTCAGCGAGATTGTAATATTTAGGGCAGTGCAAAACGAAATTTGAAAGAAAGTTGACCACCATAATCATAATCCTTGATAAGAAGTCATCTTTTAAAGCTGTCTGGTAAAATTTTACATAAGTTTTGCTTTTTTAAATCTCCCGTAAGACACTAATGAGGAGTACTTACTAAAGTAAGCGGGATTGTAATGGTTAGAGCAATGCAAATAAATTTGAATGAACTTTAATCCTAATCCATCCTTTGTAGCTGGCTAGAAAAATTTTAGTTACATTTTGCTATTTTACTTACTAAAATCAGCGGGATTGTAATGTTTAGGGCAGTGCAAATCTAAATTTGAAAGAAAGAAGACCACGTCCAATCCAAATCCTTGATAAATGCACTGACCCATCGACATAATATACACGCTGTCGAATTTTGAAAATATCGACGCACTCGGGGTATGTATTGAACACACCACCGTCCTACCACCAAGTGCGATTTGCTTCAGCAGAGCTATGCACTGGCTACAGGATAAGTCGTCCAGGCCTCTAAAAAAAACACAACCATCAAAATTATTTGCAAAAAATGTCAGGTCAACTAAATAATTATAGATTTAATTTGATGTACCTACGTAGTTGGTTCGTCCAGAAATAACACTGGCGGATTGTTCAATAGTTCAAGCGCTATAGATAGCCTTTTCCTCTGACCTCCCGACAGCTCGGTAGTCCTAGTATCAACAGTACTCGTAAGTCTCAACAGGTCTAATATTTCCTGAATCTACAATTGAATTGAATAAATGATTTCCACTGGTTTTAATCTATGCGGATTTTTTGAATTTTCAAATTTTTACGAATGATTAACTAGAAGGCGCCAGTGCCTTTTACAGAGTTTTGACCAAGTAGGCCTTGGACGAAGCGGCCATAATACCGGAAACAACTGCGTACTGGTAGCTTTGGTTATTTGTCAAATAAACGGGAAATTTTAGTTTGTTTTATGAAAGCCGAGAAGAATACAGAGACAGCAGGAAATTTGTTTTGCGACTTGAAAGAAAGCAGCCTTTTAAATACATTATGGGAAGAGAGTAATCAGTTTGAGAAAAAGTGACCAAAGTGAAGTGAAGTTATAATTTTACGATGTCAACAAGAACGACACCAAAGACTAGCAAATTAATTGATTGTATTACTACGATACTGTCCAGAGTTCCAAACTTCCATTTTTTTGCAAGAAAATTCAAGCAATATGTCACCTATCTAAAAATACGCAAGGTGTTCCATATAAAAAACCGATTTTCAGGTTGAAAACTAATACTAATGACCGATTCTCATATTTAACAAATCCTGTAAGTTTAGGTTCAGCCTCTTTTACCAGGGTTCTATTAAAAGAATGGAAGAAAAAACACTCACCGCCATCTATCAGCCCATAGACGAATTAATCGAACGCCTCATCGAAATAGATACGTATGGTGCCGCTAGAGTGAGCTACAGAGCACAATGTTGAGGTAACAAGAGGGTACTGCTCGAAGACAAAGTGGTCTTTGACCAGTGTTTATACGCGTGAAATGTATGTTTCATATGACTAGTTCCGTGTTTAATTAAGCTCCCGGATTAATTAAAATACACATTTAAAAAAAAATTATTAACTATGCATGCATTTTTTATTTATTATATTTACATTGAATTAATTTTAGGTTAATTTTCCTCAATAGTTTTGATTAGTTGTTCTAGCCAGTTCACCAGACCCAGCTGATTAATCCCTATTCAACTTTTGCATCTTCCTTACTTTTAAATTTTGAAATAATGTTTTTATTTAAATATATTTTTAAATAAAAGTAATTTTTAAAACAGTCTTGGGTAATCAATAAGTTAATTCACTGGCACGTTTAGGTCTTTTGTTTTACAGAGAGAGACAACGATAGAGTAGAGTTATCCCATTGGTTTTATAAGTTATGAGAAAATGGTAAATATTGTTAGGACGCAAAATTTAAAATTATTTTAAAGTATACAGTGTGGCTCAAAAGAGAGCGACGATTAATAAATATTTTTTTTATAAAATGCAACACACTAATTTTGCATTTTGTTTTGAATTCCTTTTTGTAAAATTCTTCAACTTTTTCTTAATAATAATATACATGTTACGCTATATGTTAAAGATTGTGTTTATTTCAATATCCTACCACATCGGAAGATAGAGAAAATAGGAATTGCTAAGGAAGGTCCGAAAAAATATACGAAAAAGACTAAACATGTGTATCCAACTGGAAGGGCTCTCTTGGCTAAGAGTTTTGTCATGGCCAATTAATGTTATAGCAATAGTTTTAGACAGAAAGAAGGGTAAATATAGCAAATAAATAGCAAAGTAATAGAAATAGGTATATGCCATACATAATATATATGGTGTGGCCATTTAAGAAAATCGGAGGAACAATATCATCGGAGACCTGGAAATGGATTAAATCCTTAAAAACAAACACCTTAGACAAATCTGGTAGGCTACCAATCCAAATAGATAAGCGGCAACAACACTATTCATAAGAACTTAAGGAAGATATATATATGTTATTCTCCCCAAAACCCTACTAGCTATAAGGCCAATTCATAGAAGTCTCAGCGGATATGGTTTGGAAAGCTATAAGGTCTGTGAAAAATAGAAGGCCATCAGGTCCTGAAAAACTACCAGCAGAATTGCTGGAGCATGGTGCGGAAAACTTAGTGAACCATCTAACAGAACGGTTCACCAGGTATATCAACGGAGACACAAATACTAAGGAATATAATAGAGGTAGATTACGGACCTCAGGAAATTGAACGACAAGCCCGTAGATCTTGCTTCGATCATATCTTAGTGCAGCTGAATGGAAAGAAAGTAGCTACAAACAGAGAAGTACAAATGGATATGATAGTGTCGAATGGTTTTAGACAGGGCTGCAGTATATGTGCATCGGAAGGGAGGAAACAGATGATCTCAACTGGTTATGATTAAGGCTAGTACAGAATATACCTATCTGGGTACGAGAATTGAAAGCAGTGGTCGCACAGGAAGAGAAATAGAGCAGAGAATTATAAAAGGAAAACAATGCGTAAATGCTGTTCTGTGGTCTAAACAAATCTCTCGAGATAGAAAGCACCTCATATATAAAATTTAGAAAGTCACCTCTTGAATGAGCATCTTGTTCGTAAGTTTCGAGTCATGGGACTGGGTGCTACTCTGGTTGAATTTTGTCACAGCTTTTTAACAGGGCGTACACAGCAGTTCCGAATCAGCAATTATATTTCCAGCGAAATTGTGGTGCACTCGGTGTGTGCCTCAGGGTTCACACATAGGTCCAGTTTCGTTTAATTTGTTTATAAGAAATCTGAGTGATGTGGTTCTTTATTCTGAACATCTTGCCTTTGCAGATGATTTTAAATTTTACAAAATATTTGAATCATTTATGGACGCTCAGCTTCTTCAGAGCGACTTTAATAATGTCAGTTCCTGGTGCAGAGAAAATGGTCTGGATCTAAATGTTGGAAAGTGTTTTAGTATTAATTTTTCTCGCTTAACTAACACTCTTCAAAATAGATATATTATTAACAATACAACGATAAAGTGTGTCACCAAAGTGAGGGACCTTGACAGTAAACTGACCTTCTTGAATCAGCTGGAGGATATTGTTAACAAGGGCATGAGAGGTCAGGGTTTTATTACTTAATTGTACACTGCTCTTATCCGACTATTTTAAAAATAGGTCCTTAGTTAAATTTACACTGGAGTATGCATCAGTAGTGTGGTCTCCACATTACAGATGTCACATTGATAGATTGGTGACTGTTCAGAGGGCATTTCTGAGGTCCCTAGCATATAGAGCGGGTATAAATATCAACAATAACTTTCACATGTTCTGGTATGTGAGTTTTATGGGATAGATAGTCTGGAAATTAGAAGAAGTTACATCTGATATCTTGACGTTTTATAAAATTTTGAACGGTGTATATAACTGTCTGGCTCTCCTCCAGTCCATTCATTTTAACATCTACCAAAGACGTCAGAGCTCCCCAATGTTTTGTATTCCATTTCATCACGCCAACTATGGCTATTTTTCTCCTTTAACTCGAACCATGAGGTTATTTAAGAGATGCTCTCTTGATACTGTTTGTTTACTGTTTTTTACTGTTTTTGTATTTTTATGTGTTTTATATGGTCATTTAAAAAGCTTGTTTTCTAAGTTGTTTTGTCATGTTGCTATTTATATTATATTTATATTGTTACTTCTTCTTTGTAAATTGGCTCAGCCTTTGAAATGAACAAATAAATAAATAAATAAAATGGACTTCTAGCGAAGATCCGCTGGAATATTAAGACTCGAAAGACGAAGGAATGAAAAAATGATGACAATGACAGTTGATGTGGTATTTTAAAATGGATACCACTAGACGGGAGAAAAAGAGGACGACCGAAGCCAACTTGGATGAGCGGAATACAGAAAGCAATTTGGAACACCCTGTAGTATCTAATTCGAATTCCATTGCATCTTTTACGTCATCTTGAAATAATTCTAATATTAAATCTGAGTGATGTAGTATGACGTGTGTGATGACCCTCAAAAATAATAGCGCTAAACTAGTTTAAAGTATTTAAAAAAACTATTCGGTATGTATTATTGTTAATAAAAAAGATGTACTTTAAAAGGTTAATAGGGTATTCCATGTAAAAAAAAATGTTTGTTTTATTCGTAATGCTTTTTTGAGCCACTTAAAAAATAATTTTAAAGTGTGCATTTTAACAATCTTTTGAAATGAGAAAATGAACGTTACTCCATGTATTGTATTGCTTTTTTGTAGACTTTATGATAAGGACTTTTAATCTGACTCTTTTTATCTAACAATACTCTTAGTTTTTGGTAATTTTTCAATTCTGCTTTAATAAGTATTTAATTTCGAGTGCAAAAATAAAACTGGGTCACTGGAGTCGACTTTTTTGCAAGTCTCCTGAAATCTCTCAGTTCTACCCATCCTGCATATTCAAATCGCTACTTACCGCATTGCATTTTTCTTGTTGAGTGGCGTTAAGGTCTAGTTTTAAATTGGCCGCCACCATCATTGACTCCTGAACGGTCAACATGGGCTGTACCAAATCGTCTTGCATGATGTACCGCGAAATCTTTCCAAAATCTTTCAGGTTTCTGAGCCTGCCATTTATCGATACCTGCCCAGTGGCGTGGTGAACCCTAAAGAACAGAAATCAGGAATATTGTAGCGGTTTGTGATGGAAGTATATGGAAAAATACTCACTTGTAACCTGCTAGTACATTTAACAAGGTGCTCTTGCCAGCCCCAGACGGTCCCAAGATGGCGGACAATTCGCCCGACTGAAATCGACCGTTCACGCTTCGAAGTATCAATTTTGAGCCTGAAACCAATTATACGGGGTAGTTAATACGTCCAGGACACTTTGTTAATAATTTTTAAATACATAGGGGTAATTATGTGAAAGTGCATGAAGAAAAGAAGCAAATATGATGCACTTTTGGAATAATAAAGTGTGCATCTGCTTTCTAGGCAACGAGGTCAGCATATTCATTTGTTTTTACAAAAGAAGCGTCAAACTATAACGACAAGTTTGTGAAATTATTTATTTTAGCAGTTAATGAATCATTTTTATGCATGTTCGAGGTTAGCGCCAAAATTTCCCGGCCTGACATAGATGCAGCTCCAGTATCACGATAAAACTTTGTCTTTTTTTAAATATGTATCTTAGTAGATAGTAGGCTGCGAAAAAAAATTGAAGTCTTGCGTCAAATAGTTTTTTATTGACAGCGTTTTAAACAAGATGTGTCCGAAAAAATGTCGGGCATAACGCAAATTGAGTATAGAGCAGTCATAAAGTTTTTGACAAAAGAAGGGTTAGCACCTAAAATTATTAAAGAAAGGCTGGATGGTGTGTATGGCCAAAGTTCTCCTTCGTATTCTGTAGTGAAAAAATGGGCAAAACGTTTTCGAATGGACAAGGAGTCCCTTGAAGATGATTCAAGAACTAGTTGACCAGTGGAGGTTATAACTTAAGATATTGTGGAATGTGGAAGAGGTGGTATTGAGTGATCGACATTTAAAGGTCAAGGAAATCTCAGAAATTACTAAGATTTCTGATACAAGTGTTCGTCGAATCCTGCATGATCATTTAGGTATGCATAAGGTTAGTGCAAGATGGGTTCCTAAAAACCTTTCGGCTATTCAAAAACAACGCCGTGTCGAGTGTGCGTGGTCGTTTTTGGAACTCTGTGGGTCGGAACCGAATCCTGTAATAGAAACTATTGCGACGGGAGATGAAACTATTGTTCTCTATTATGACCCTCTATCGAAAAAAGAATCAATGGAGTGTCGTCGCAAGGGTGAAGCACCTCCAAGAAAATTCAGAGTCTGTCAGTCAACAAAAAAGCTGATAGCCACGATCTTTTGGGATTGTGAAGGAATTCTCTTGATAGATTTTAAAGAACCTAATATCACTGTCAATGGTAAATATTACGCAACATTATTACATAAATTGCGAGAATGCATACGTGTAAAACGTCGAGGAAAGCTGACCAGAGGCGTGCGTCTTTTGCATGATAATGCACTTGTCCATACTGCTGGTGTTGCACAAGCTGCCATTTTAGAGTGTGGGTTCCAACAGATAGATCATCCTCCTAGATATGGCCCCCAGCGACTATTATTTGTTTGGATATTTGAAAAAGGACTTACGTGGACGGCGGTTTAACGACGAAGTTGAGTTAAAAGAGGCTGTTTTAGCTCATTTTGCAGACAAATCAAAAGAATATTTTTTTAAAGGGATTGAGTTGTATTGAAGTTAAAATTGTTATTATTACTTTGTTTCTTACATATTCAGGCAGGGAAATTTTGGCGCTACCCTCGTATCGTAAGTAGTTTTAATTGTTAATTTACCTTTAGAAGGGTGTAGTTTAATTTTATTAGATTAATAAGTGTTAATTGTTGAATAACATTGCTATTTTATTTGTATACTAATTTACCCAGAGACAGAAACCATAGTGACCGCCGTCTGACGTACGAGAAAACACGCCTGCCTTTGTTCCGAACAAATTTGTATTTTATTTGAATATAAATTGTTAAAAATGTACACTAACAATGCAACAATATGTTTTTTGTAAGTCATTAAATAATAAGTAAGCGTTTATTAATTCCTCTGAATGGCAACGTAACGTATAGAAAATGCACAACGCCATTATGGGATAGTCAACATAGAAAATTTAGTATCAGACAGACGTATAAAATAATAATAATTTTGCAAAGAAACTTCACAAAATATACTTCAGCGCAATCTTCCAATAGCAATGAGCCCGGAAGCACAAATACTTGCTACACTGTTGTCCTTCCTTAAATTGAAAACATCACTGACCACATATCAAAAGTTCTAAAGAAATATAATGTAAAAACCTGATTTACCACTTGTCCAAAAATCTCTCAACATCTTCGATCGGTCAAGGACAAAATTCCACTTGAGATAACAGGAGTTTACAGCATTCCATGCGTATGTGGTAAAGAATACAATGGAGAGACCGGACGAAAAATATCAACTAGGCTCAAATAACATGAAAGAGCCTTAAGAATGAGACAAATAAACTATATATATATATATATATATATATATATATATATATATATATATATATATATATATATATATATATATATATATATATATATATATATATATATATATATATATATATATATATATATATATATATATATATATATATATATATATATATATATATATATTGAAGATGAAAAAGAGATCTTGGCGAAACGTCCGGGTTCCAGTCGGAGTTCAACAAACGAACGATATCCCGGAATATTTTTTCAACATATTTTTCCATCCGTGAATCAATACGTGTTCATTATCCCATTGGTTTCAAAAGTTACGAGACCATGATAAGTACGAAAGTTGTTAGGAAGCACAATTTAAAACTATTTTAAAGTACATGAGGTAACTCGACGAATAAAACCTATTTTTGAATTTTATTTTGAATGCTTCTCCAATAGTTTAATTTTTTTAAAGATCACCATAATTTGACGTTAGTGATATTCGGAAATGATGTAAAAGATATATGCAACGGAATTTAAATTAGATGATACAGGGTGTTCAAAATAAACGAATATATTTGGATCATATTAAATTAAAAAGCCTCGATATTTTAAGAAAAACTAAATAATATTAAATACCTACTGCTACAAGTTATCTTACTTTTAATTATGGAGCAACAAATGTTCCAAAATACACCCTTCTACTTGGAAATACATGTTTAGTTTTTTTAGTAAATTATCTTAGACGTGACGTAAAAAATATACAGTTCTTTCTTAAACCCTACATTGTTTTCCTGTTTTCAGCATCGTATCAGTGGAAAAAACGCCACCAGTTTGCTAATTTAACCGACTTTGTAGCTCAACTCACAACAAACTTATCAATGATCAACATTTAATTTAAATCAGTCTGCATAATAGATTTTCTAAATAAAGAGACACAAATAATAAATAATAATGAATGTATTTGCCTTTTTTATTTACAATTTTTTGACAAAACCAAACTTATACGAAGATTATAAGAATACAGCAGCAGTGAGCTACCCTGTATGAACAATATGCTCAAAATTATTGTGTATAATAACTATACATTCAGATAAACCATTAATAGTTAAAAAAATATGGACGTTAAATGTGGAAGTACCTAATTAAATCAATTGGAAAAAAAGTTTTACGATGCAGTTTGCAACATATTTGAAATGCGCACTAATAGTTCTCTGATGCGCACATACCGGAATGTAATATTTTATTTTTCCATCGCTTAAATGTAATTAATAGCACACATCAAAGTGTGTTTTTTTTTTTAATTACGTCGAACTTAACCCCTCTTGCGGCAGTGCAAAGACAAAATTGATGGATGACCTTCGATTCCTTTGCGGTCTATGCTTTTTGACGTCAGTATGCAAATATCGGTCTTCTTAACGCGCGAGTTAAGCGTAGTATCGCAAGGGCTCAGCTAGATGAAAGTGACGCAAAAGCTGTGTCAATAATTTTAGATAAAAACCGTTAGCACTCACGAAATAACAAAAATATCCGACATCCTTTTCGTGTTTTCCCAATTATGTAAGAATTTGGTAAAGTCTGTTCATAGATATAAGAAAGTGACTAACTGATACGAATTAAGGAAAGACCCGGGCAAGCTGTAAGAATGAAATATGGCCGAATAGGCCCACATTTTGCTTAGAATTTAATTATTTTAGGTTTTGTTAGGAAAGATACTAAACAATATTTATTTATTTATGTTTAAATCTAAAATAAAATTACAAATTATTTTTATTACCTACTTAAATTACCTAAAATTATTCACATAATATATCAGTATCACTAGCGCTATCATCGCCTGTGCTAATTATTATTTGTTGTATATTATTTGCAATATGGATATACGATTGTTCTGATTTTTCTATACGTTTAACAGAATTTGCCCAACTTTGTGGAAGGATGTTTAAAACTTCGGTTTCTATAAGTTTGAGGACAATGGAGTTAACACGGGGAAAAACATTGTTACGACGAATGGCAGATTTCAGTTGGTGCCAAACATGTTCAATAGGATTAAATATACAGTGGTATATTTATATATTTAATGGTATGCCCTAGATTTTTTGCATAATTATCACAGACGTATTCCTTTTGTAGGTTCAAGCTTTGTAGCACCTCAATTGATTGGTTTTTGGTATAATCTTCGTGAAAATAAATGTCGTTATTATACATGTAGTTTTGGATTGTTGCATTTGTGTCACATGAGGAAGTGGTTTTAGTCAACTGTCTACTGTGATCTTTAGAACCAGCAAGCGAAATAGTTATTCTTGTACCTCTTTTTGATGGCGCCTTTGTTTACACTTATCAGTTGAGTCAACCCAACCCTTTTCCGGGGTATCATAAGTGTCGAACCAGGTTTCATCCAAGTAAATAATTGGCATTTGTTGTTCTCTGTAAATTCTAATTTTTTCTAGATATTCCAGTCGCCATTTCCGAATTCTAAAAGATTCCATTAAAATTTGCCTTTTGCCAATTTTTTTAAATTCAAAACCCATGAGGTAGTTCTGCCACATTTAATACCGGTTACATCTTTTTCCAGCCTCCTAGTTAAGATATCTAATGTAGGCGCGCTTTGTTCGTCATATAACTGGTAAATTTTGCGCCGCATTATATCCTGATCACTTTCATCTACATTCGAGAAAATGTCAGCATTGCTTCTTTTTTTCCTCGCTGAATTGGGATTATTCACAATTTTCCATACAGTTGATGTTGGAATTTTCGTCAATGGGCCGTTTCAAATAAACATTGTTTATAACTTCCTTAGTCTCAATA